TATATTTCAGAATTTAAATTGTTTCCTGGTACATTTGTAATTGTATGTGTTAACTCTTTGATGCGGATGTTGTTGATTTTAGTTACCGATACTTCAGCTTTAGAATTAAGTGCCTACTTATATGATGATATTAGCTGCACGTACAGATATTTATGTCTAGGTGCAGCAAAAACGTACTATTTAAGGTAATTATTGTACAGTATATGTAATGTACATCTATTCCTGTAGCTAATCCAGTAATATATTCAATTCATACTCTTTGGATCTAAACGCGCAAGGATCGTTTTCTATGTCCCATATACATCTAGGACAGGTGAAAAGAAGGCATAATGGTTAATACACTGACTCGAGTGAGAGTAGAAGACAGTGTTCTGTATTTTATACTTTACCCGACGGAATAGGAAGCATCGTAAACGTCTGTAAGAAAACTTTAATGAATTCGTTGTCACTGGCAAAAAAAAAGATGGAAGTTATAATAAAAGAGAAGAAAAGTGGCGATATAACTTACACAGATAAAGGCTATATTTTGGCTCATGCCAATTATTGAAAAGTTTATACAAAAGAATATCGCAAACGTATTATAAATCACATAAATTCTATACCAAAAGAGGAGAGCCACTACGCTCGTAAAAAAAGCTCAAAACTGTATATAAGCCCAGAGCTTAACATACATCCTCTTTTAAAGGCATTTAATAAAAAGTATCGTCATAATCAAGTGCTCTACAAATACTACTGCAGGGTTTTCAAAAAATAATTTTTTAATTTGAGTTTCCGTAGACCTAGAACGGACACTTGCAAAATATGCGACAGACATGCATGTGTTATAAAAATGAAAGTACAAGCATCAGTTAGGTCAGCTGGGCGTCTGACAATAGCCAGAAGATTACAGTTGGAGTTGCACCATCGCAAAGCAGAAAAAGCTCAAACCAATCTCAAAGGAGACTCCGCTTCCTCCCAGCAACCAGGAAGTGAGATTTGTACAATAACAATAGGTCTAGAAAAAGTATTATTTGTTCCAACCTTAACTCACTCGGATATGTATTATGTTTGGGCTGGTGATTAATCATGGACTATATGTTCAATTTTGGTGACAGCATGAAACCACATTTCTCAAAAGTCTTATTCATTTTTTTCCAATGCACGAAAGACATGCTTTTCGAGCCCTCTTCCTCTCTGCATTGCTGGTGTGTCATACTTCTTCAGTCCACCAATAACCAACTGAACTAAAGTTACAGCAGGAGTTTTACATTTGGCAGTTTCATAAATTTTTGATGCAGTAATTCTTCCATATCGTAGATCAGTGGTTCGCAAACTTTTTTTCTCGTGGACCACTTTTAAAGTTTTACTATTTTCGGTAGAGCCCCTGCCGGTACATTTCCCCATTTTCTTGTGTCCTATTTATTTAAATAATACTTGTGGTTATGCAAAATTATAAACATTTATTAATACAAACAGTCAACAATGAACTCTGAAATGTAAATTAACAATACTTTCTCATAGTCATACTTTTAATGAGACGGATGTACTTGATGAATTGGCAGCAAATTATCCATATTTGTCTTCAGTTTTGTAAGAAGGAATCTCAAATCTCCCCGTTCTGTGATGTTCAATATGCTCATTGTTTTGTTAAAAGGTTGGTAACGACACTAAAACTTCTTTCGACAAGATAGGACGAGGGAAACCCTATCAAAAATTTTCTCACAATTTTCCATAGCCCAGCATATTTTACGGGGATTTCTGCCTGCAGCCAAAATGTTTGTTAGCCTTTCTAAAATTTCACCTTCAGTTCCTCGTTGGTGATGAGCTCAAGTAGCTCCTCTTGTAATACGTTGATGGAAGCAAATCAAATTTCAAATAATCAACACTGTACTGTCGACATTTCTTCTTAAATTCATCCATTTTTTGTATCAGTTGTGACCTGTAAAAAATGTTTGTTTTTGAGGCGATTTTACAAGAATATGGCTATTATAACCCAACAGAATAGAATTATTGCAATAAAAAAAACGAAATGACCGTAGAAATACCGCTCTTTTAATGAATCATCGTCGCGTAAATAAATGTTTTTAAACCAAGAAGTCCTTATGTGCCTAAAGTTTAACCTTTCCTGGCTTTTTGTTCTTTTACAGAAGTTTTGGATAATCTCTAGTATTCCTTTTTTACTACATAACTACCCACTACAGCTACACTCAAATAATAAAACAAATATAATATCATTGATAAATTACAGTTTACAATAAAAATATGTTTAACAAATAGGCAGATACTTACTTTTTCCGGCACTGCAAACACTGAGATCGATTCACTCACAGTCACACTTTTATGTTCCAAATCCCAGAAACAAATGAGTAACGTTTTGTTTTTGGCATTCGTATTTGTTCAAATTCTATCGATCGGCGATTTAGCAATAAAAACCGGTGGTAGGGATAAAGTAGATACCGGGCAAAGAGTAGAATAATCGGAAAATCAACTGGTCTGGCTGCTAGCCATAGGCGTAGTAAAAATCTGTATTATCGATTTATTCTAAGCATGAAAGATTCATTCATTTTCTGACCTTTATCTCTACATTATATGTTTGAAATCATAAACGCTATAATAGTAACGCAATTTTTTTAAGGATTTGAAAGCGATTCGATAGGGATCGAATTTGGCTCTTAGCTTATAAATTCAAAACAACTCACGCCACTGGTCCCTGTTTACAATCGTGCAAAACAGTACAGGTTAGGAAAATTTAGGACGATTTTCCTGCAATTGAAAGGAGTTTATTAATATCACGATTATCACTTGTTATCAGCAAAAACACGAGAAATTGCCGTATCTACTTGTCCAACAAATGCTCTTTCCCTCTTACTATCATGTCATTATCACGTACTCTCCCCTTTGCGGTGTTGTCATGATGAATGTTTCATTATGTTTTCTGGTAATTACCACCAAAAATCCTTATGAATTTTTAAATATAAAATTTCGAAGCTGTTATTTTAATGACATTTGCTTGTCGCTTATTACAAACTAAGCAAATATAACACTAAATATATTCATGGCTACCGTTTTCCTGCTATTTTGTTGTTGATGCCACTCATATATATCAAATTGAATACCGAGCCGGCAAAGCAGCCTCGTAAGTACCTACTTTTGTATAGACTGTGAACTAATGTTGCTCCCATAGAAAAACGTAAACAAATGCATCTGTTTAATCTGAGGTTTGAACAGCGTCTCATATATTTTTGAGTACCTACCTAGTGAATGATGCTACCTGCAATATCAACGTAGGTTGATAGCTAGATCAAAGCAAAAATTCTTGTTCATTATGAAAACCAGCAAATTTTTTGTCCACCCCCCCTTATTACTTGTGAACCTCTGTTTTGTTTTCACGTCTACGTGGACCTCCGTGTGGTCTCCTATGAATCCCTGGGGGTCCACTTGGACCTCTTTGGCAACCTATGTCGTAGATCATGCCCCATACTACATCCAGTTTGGGCAATTGTGCTTTGAAATGCTTTTTCACAGTCGGACAACTGTATTTTCGATGATGCATACAACACAAATTCATCAGCCGTTACATTTCTACGCGTTAACTCCGTAAATGAACACAAGAACTGATGAATTTCCATTTAATTACAATTAAATATTTTAAAATTTGACTAGAAGCCTCTATTTCTAGCCCTCTTTGCACAAATTTATTTAATAAATCATAGTTCTTGGCTGCTGACAAATTTGTTTCGCTACAAAAATCATTCAGGGTAATAAATCGTGATGTAGCCACAGTTAAAAGTTTAGGACGTTTCCAATATGATTCTACTTCTGTAGGACTTGGCTCTTCACTACGTCGATGAACCCACATGACAAAAGCAATAGCATGTTTGCATCCTCCTAGAAATCAGAAAAATCAGACGTTATATTTGATTGCATCTTTAAATATTAATGGATTACCTGTTGGCGCCGCACAGTCTTGACACTCAGCTTTGACTTTATTTTCCTCGGATTTATCCACTTCCAAAATTATAGAGTAATTTTGAGAACGTACTCCATGTTCAGGGCAAATTTGGCATTTCACAACGCAAACGTTATTTTTTCTTTTCAGTTGGACATATCCAACTGAAGCATCTCCATAAGCTTTCTCTCTCAGATCTAAAATGAAATAAATAAATTATCATTTATTATACCGAAAATGTAAAAAATCACCGATTGGGTCGATAGCTTTTTTCTATAGGAAATAAAGATTATTTCTATATATGTAAAAATCACACTGATATATAAAACCTATAGCAATTCATTTCTATTTATTTTCTGTTGAAAGTTGATTCAAAACTTTCCATAAATAAATTAGTGAAAGATAAGGATAGTGGTGACCCCATAGCCATTCCAAAATGTTGTTTACATAAATTGTCATTGTATTGAAAATAAGTTGACTTTACACATATTGTTAAAAGTTCAATAATGGTGTTAATGTTTAGTTGTGTGCGTTCTTTAAGATTG